GGGAGGGAGGGGGGGGAGGGGAGGGGGAGGAGAAGGGGGTAGGGGAGGGAGGGGAAGGGGATGGAGACTGGATACGGGAAGGTTGGGATGGGGAGGGTGGGGGAGGGGTAGGGAGGAGGGGAGGGAGGGGAGCCTGGTTACAGGGAGGGAAAGGTGGGGGGGAGGGGGAGGTAGGGCAGGATGGGGGAGGATGGGGAGAGGAAAGGGAGGGTAGGGGAGGGTGGGGGAGGGGAAAGGAGGGTAGGGAGAGTGGAGGAGGCAGGGATGGGTGGGGGAGGCATGGAATGGTGGGGAGGGGAGGGGAGGCAGGGGAGGGTGGGGGAGGTAGGAGTAGGTTGGGAAGAGGGGCTAGATAGGTGAGTGTGGTAAATGAGGAATATTTTTGGGGATAAACAAGGTAGGTGAGGGATGGGGCAGAGAGTGTGAGTACGGAAGACCAGGGATAGGTGAGTGTGCAGGGACAGGTGAGTAAGCAGGGGCAGATAGGTGAATATGAGGGCATTTGACTGAGTGTAGAACCTGAGTAATGAGTGTGTGCCCGGAGACAGGTGAATCAGGTGAGTGTGAGAATAGGTAGATGAGTGTGGAAGCTACGGTATAGGTGAGTTTTGGCCGCAAAGGAGGATAGGTGAGTATGAGGAAAGGTAGGTAAGCGTGAGGAAGGATGGACATGTCGAGGGATAAGTGGATGTGGGAATGAAGTGGACAAGTGAGAGTAGGGTATAACTATAGATAAATAGAACAACATAATCATTCAGATTTAATTATTACGTTATAGACACAGTTGGGTTTTATTTTAAGGTAAATATAAAACAAGGAGATATTGAATCTTTGAATTAGTGATGGAATGTCTGTAATATTAGTAAACTTTATAATTGTGTTAATGATGAAGGTGATGCATGTTTGATTATAATGATAATGATAACGTTAGGAAGGAAAATGATAAAGATGCTGATAATTTTGATGATAATGAGAATGGCAAAGGGAATTCTATCAGTAAGTTAATTGATAGTAATGATAATATTAATATCATTAGCAAAGATAATGTGCCAAATGCATTTATTTTACATCTTAACTTTATTATCTTCGTAATACTCATTCCAAAAATATTTCTTCACAACCTACACTTCTCCTTAACAACCAATCTCCGTATTTATTTATTTATTCTCCTTAACAACCAATCACCGTATTTATTTATTTATTTATTCTCCTTAACAACCAATCACCGTATTTATTCCTCAAGACTCCGCCTCCTCTCTTTCTCAGCCCCGTGGGCAGTGGGCGGTCCTTCAGCTTCGACACCGTGGGCGTGACGGGCGGGGGCGAGGAGTCCTGGACGGTGGGCAACCTGGAGAAGTTCACTCGCTATGTCTTCGTCCTTCAGGCTTTCAACGCCAAGGGGCCGGGGCCGCTCTCCACCGAGGTGTTCGCCACCACGCTCGAGGACGGTGAGGGGGGGAGGGTATCTTTTTTATTATTGATTTATTTATCTATTTGTTTTTTTTTTTTTTTTTTTTTTTTTTTTTTTTTGCTTTAGTAATATACTTATATCTCTCGACCGAGGTGTTCGCCACCACGCTCGAGGACGGTGAGGGGGGGGAGGGGTATCTTTTTTATTATTGATTTATTATTATTTCTTTATTTATTTTTTATTTATTTTTTTTTTTTTTTTTTTTTTTTTTTTTTTTTTTTTGCTTTAGTAATATACTTATATCTCTCGACCGAGGTGTTCGCCACCACGCTCGAGGACGGTGAGGGGGGGGGGGGGGAGGGGTATCTTTTTTTCTATTGATATATTTATCTATTTGTTTATTTATTTATTTATTTTATTTATTTATTTTTTTTTATTTTTTTTTGCTTTAGTACTATACTTATATCTCTTTGATAGAGATAGCATCACTTTGATAGAGATCCTGATAACCTGGTAAGATGACTTCTGAAAGATTTGATACTGATAACATTAAATTGATAAGCTGATGATGACACTTTGATAGAGAACCTGAAAACCTGATAAAATTTCTTCTAAAAGATAAGAAAAAGATACATCAGAATAGCTTGTAAAGATAAGATTAAATAGAAAATAGCTGTAAATAGAAACAATTAAATAGACAAATAGCTGTAAATAGATAAGACATTATAAAACATCCCTTTAAATAATAGCTGTAAATAGATAAGACATTATAAAAACATCCGACAAATAGCTGTAAATAGATAAGACATTATAAAACATCCTTTAATACAGACAAATAATAGCTGATAACATCCCCCCCTCCCTCCCTGCAGTGCCGGAAGCCCCCCCAGAAGACGTGACCTGTTGCCCTGACCTCGACGCGGGTGGAGGTCTCCTGGTCGCCGCCCCCCGCCCACCTCGCCCACGGACGCATCACCACGTACACGCTGACCTACACGCCCATGGACGACCATACAGGGGGAGGGACAGGGTTGTTTTGGTTGTTGATGGGGGGGGGTGAGGGGGTGAGGGAAAGGGGAGGGGGATTTTTCTCGGAGGGGGACGTGTGGGGGTTTCCCTCCTTTCTTGTTACTTTATTATCATGTATTTTATTCTGTATCTCTCCTTCCCTCTTTCTTGTTACTTTATTATCATGTATTTTATTCTGTATCTCTCCTTCCCTCTTTCTTGTTACTTTATTATCATGTATTTTATTCTGCATCTCTCCTTCTACCTCTCTCTCTCTACCTATCCACCTATCTCTCATTCGTTCCTTGCTCGCTGTCATTCTTTTCCTCTTTGTGTTTAGGTGAAGAGAGTGATTGACATAACCTGTGATTTTGTAGCTAAGGTCTTAAACACACACGTGCGCGCGCGTGCGTATACATGAATATAGTCATATTTATCAGTTGGTATAGTTACACGACACATACATATACTCGCACACATGCACATACACTCGCACACATACACACACATGCACATATACTCGCACACACACACACATGCACACAAACACAATACACGCATGCACACACACACATACATATACGCACGCACACACACACACACATATACATATAATATATATATATATATATATATATATATATATATATATATATATATATATATATATATATATATATACATATACATATACATATATACATATACTCATATACTATATACATACATATATATATATATATATATATATATATATATATATATATATATATATATATATATACATACACATATATATACATATACATATACATATACAATAAACAAATATAAACATATACGCATATACATATATACACATATACACATATGTATACATATATACACATAAAAACAAATATAAACATATACACATATGCATACATACCTACGCCCACAAACACCCGTGCACCCCTAATCCAACCCCTCCCCCCCCCCCCCCAGGCCTCCCCGCCGGCGAGTCTCGCATCGTCAACGGCCAGAGCGCCACCGTGGGCGACCTCGAGCGCTACTCCAACTACTCGGTGACGGTGGCGGCGGCGACGAGGGCGGGCGTGGGCGTGTCCTCGCCGCCCGTCGTTTGCGCCACGGAGGAGGACGGTGAGGCTGAGGGCGGGGTTTTGGGCTGTTTGTTTGTTTGTGTGTTTTATAATTGTATATTAAATTGTGAATATTGATGTAGATTAGTATCTTTATTAGTAATAAATTTAATATATTTATTAATTAATACTCATAAATTTAATATATTTTAATTTAATATTTTATATTTAATATAATTTAATTTAAAATTTAATATATTTATTAATTTAATATTTATAAATTAAATTATTTAATTTATTTATAAATTTAATATTTTTTATTAATTTAATATTTTATAAATTTAATATATTTATAATTTTAATATTATAAATTTATATTTATAAATTTTATATTTATATTTAATATAAATTAATATATTTATTTAATAAAGTCATATATTTATTTAATAAAGTAATATATTTATTTAATAAAGTAATATATTTATTTATATTATATTTATTAATAAAGTAATATATTTATTTAATAAAGTAATATATTTATTAGTAATAAACACTCCATTTACATACATACACCAATGTAAATACTGAACCATGAGCACACAACACACCCCACGCCTGTGCTGTGTGGATCAGCGGTCGCTTTTTCGTCCAGCCACCCAGCTGACCCGCGTTCGGTTCCCCGCAGCGGCAGCGGATGGTAACCCAGGTCATTCCTCTCACGAAGGAGGTCAATCAGAAGCACAATAAGCAGACACGACTCAACTTGACTAACGTTACAAGAGCAAACCCTAAATAATAATAATAATAATAATAATAATAATAATATATAATAATTATTATTATTATTATTATTCATTATCATATTATTATTTTATTGTTATTATTTTTTAATATTATAATTTTGTGTCATTATAATTATTATTATTCTTATCATTATTATATTATATTATTATTATTTATTATTATTATTATTATTACCATTATATTTTCGTTTATCATAACACGAACAAACACAAACATCCTTACGATCCCCCCCCCCCTAACACTCCCTCCCCGGCCTCCGCAGTTCCCCAAGCGCCCAGGACGATCAAGGTAGTCATGAACGGTCCCAACAGCGTCATCGTAGCGTGGGCGGCCCCTCAGCGCGCCCACGGAACGGTGACCAAGTACATCCTCTACAGGAGAGCCCCGCCCGCAAGAGATCCTATCAGGAGGATTCTCCCGCCTCAGGTAAAGGAGAAAGGATGAGAGGAAAGCCCAGGTGTTGGGGTTCGCATCTGGTGCTAGGATGGGTGGGGTCTATAAAATAATGAAAAAAAAAACAAAACTTGGCAACTCAATTCCTTACAATGGCGAATTCCGATTTTGGTGATTTTTTTTACATTTATATTTTGATTAGCTGATACTTCATTCTTACGTATTTGCATACATTTAATTATATTTCCAAGACTCGTATAAATTATACCTACTTTACATCACTATTTATTTCTCTGTTTTCTTTTCTTCCAATAATTTGAATCGGAACGCTCCAGAGTGAAGAACGAGTTGCCAGTTTCTCTTTTTCTGGGATCGGGCGGAGGAGAGATCATCGTTTTTTTTTTTTTTTGTTTTTTTCCTGACAGATAACTGGATAAATAAAAAAAATCAATAGATAAAGAGATAGATAAGTTTATCGATAATTAAACAGGTAGAGAAGAATATCAAGAGCTAGATATTAATATGAAAGCAGGACATAAATACAAATAGACACAGTTACATCTTTGACAAACATTTCCCGGTTACCAAATGCGAGAAAGAGTTCTCGGTTCTACCCATTTCTGCCTTTCTCTCCCATATTTATTGATTCTGTTTTATATACACCGTTCTGCGTGGCAACAACATCAGTACTGGGTGACGTTGTACATTCCTCGACTCTTCTGTCAAGCCTGTCTGTCTCCATCTGTCGGTCTGTCCTTCTCTGTATCGTTTTCTATTTTTTTTTTTTTTTTTTTTTTTTTTTTTTACTTTTTATCTATCATATTGATTTTCCTCGTTGTTGTTTTTTTCTGTGTTTGTCTGCCTTTAGGTTTTTGTTTGTTTATTAGTCATTCTGCCTGTCTGTTCATCTCTTTTTTTTTTACTTTTTATCTATCATATTGATTTTCCTCGTTGTTGTTTTCTGTGTTTGTCTGCCTTTAGGTTTCTGTTTGTTTATATTTTCTCTGTTTATTGGTCATTCTGTCTGTCTGTTTATCTCTATCATAATCCCTCCCTCTTTCTTTCTCCTTTTTTTTCTCTCTTTCCTTCTGTCTATTCGTCTCTTTTATCTATTCTTCCTCTCTTTCATGCTTTTCTTCTCTTACTTTTTCTCCCCCCCCCCCCTCCCCCCAATCTCTATCTCTCTCTCTCCACACTTCCTTTCTTTCTCTCCCTATTTACACACGTTATCGCCCTCCATACCTTCCCCAGCAACCTAATCACGTGACACAGCATTGAAGTGCAGTGAATAACATCAGTTCCTTTCGTCGCATCCAGCTTTCACCCAATTTTCCTAACAACATTCGACCAAGTCCTTAAACCCCCACTTCCTTCACAACCTTTGTCACATTTCTCCATTCCTTCGTCCTTTTCTATCCTCTTTCACCCAATCTTTCTTTCCTCACAACAACATTCACCCATAATCCTTCTTTCTCTCTGACCAAATTCACTAAAATTACTTTATTCCCAATAAACATTAACCCTAAATTTCCCCATTCCTCACAACCAATGTTCACCTAAAATATCCCTTCTTTTTTCAACCAACACACACAATATCCTATATCCCTCTTAACCAAGATTCACCCGTTTTTTTCCATTTCTCGCAACCAACATTCACCCAGAAGTCCTCCTTGCTTCACAACATTTACCCAAATTCGTCTATTCTCAACCAATATTCACCCTAAATTTCCCTATTCCTCTAAACCAACATTCACCCAGAATCCCTCATTCTCTCACAACCAAAATTCACCCAAATTTCTCCATTCTGACGAACATTCGCCCTAACCCCCCCCCCCCAACACACACAACTTCACAACTAACAATCACCCAACTACACACATTCCTTCACAACCAGCCACTCACCCAAAACCCTTCTATTCCCCATAATAACTCACAACAACCCTTACGTGGCTGGCGCAGCGGTAAGGTACTGGTCTAGCTCACACACACACACACACACACACACACACACACACAACACACACACACACACACACACACACACCACACACACACACACACACACACACACACACTATCTTGCGGACCTGCGTTCAATCCCACGCCGGCCAGTGAATGGTAACCCGGCCATCCTTGCACACAGGGGGAGATTTGGGCAAAAAAAAAACAGACAGCATGTCACAGCAAAGAATACAAAGCGTGTTTTTGAGTTTGTTGCTTTCGTTATCCCTTCCTCCTCCTTCCTCACTATCCTCCTAATAGTCCCCACCCCCCTCCGCGTCGCTACCACTCCCATCCCCTCCCCAACAGCCCCCTCCCCCTCCCCTATCCATTGTAACAAATGGAATTAAAACTCTTTAAATCTTCTCAACTGCAGACGCTATGGCTCGAGGTCACGGATCTGGCCAGCAACCATCTCTACGAATTCTGGGTGACCTCGGCCACCAGGGTAGGAGAAGGACCCGCCTCTCCTGTCGTATCTGCCACGCCCTCTGCCACAGGTACTCGTAGATCCTATGAGGACGAGGATGTAGGACTTTAATACTATGATACTTATAAGGACTCTAATACTATGTTTTGATTGTTCTTGTTTATGTTTTAATATCAAAGCGATTCGGTCTACAGCTGTTGATAGAAATGGAAATTTATTTTATATCGGGCTACCAATAAAGCTTTTATGTTAAGAGTAAATTGTGGTCTAGAAATTATGATAACGAGGGTGAGAATGATGATGAACATGCTGGTGAGGGTGATAGTGATGATATGATAATGATTAAGTTGATAATGAGAGAAAGAAGTAGTAAAAATAACGATAGTGATAACATTTATAATACCTACATCAATAGTAGCTATGATAACAACAAAATTGATAATGATAATAATAATAACAACAACAATATCAACAGTCATGATAATAATGATAATGATCATAATATAATAATAATCATGATAAATCATTATGATAATAACTATTTGAAAGGAATAATTATTATAATGATACCAACAACAGTAATGATGATGTATAATAGTATTGATTATAATAATAATCATAATAACAATACGATTAACCCACCCCCACCCCCATCACCCTTTCAGTGAGCTCCGGCATCTACAGCGTGGGCGGGGAGGTGCGGGCGGGCCGAGGCACAGACGTCGTCCTGCCCTGTCAGCACGTCGGACGCCCAACGCCCACGCTCTCATGGCGACGAGACAACGCCCCCGTCACTCACGACTCCAGGTGAGGGAGTTGATCAGAACTCGTGGGTGACTTAGTGAGTTGTTATTCATGAGGACTGTTGTTATGTTTTTTTATCATTTATCAACTACTATTAGAATTTGTTTATTTATTTATCAATACTATTATGAATTTATTTATTTATTCATAGAGCTATTATTAATGTTATTTATTCATTTATCAACTACTATTATGGATTTGTTTATTTATAGAGCTATTCGTATGGTTAGCTATTCATTTATCAAATACTATTATGAATTTATTTATTTATTCATATTTATTCATTTATTAATTTATTTATTTATTAATGTTATTTATTCATTTATCAACTACTATTCTGGATTTGTTTATTTATTTATAGAGCTATTCGTATGGTTAGCTATTCATTTATCAAATACTATTATGAATTTATCTATTTATTCATAGAGCTATTATTAATGTTATTTATTCATTTATCAACTACTATTATGGATTTTTTTTTTATTTATAGAGCTATTCGTATGGTTAGCTATTCATTTATCAAATACTATTATGAATTTATTTATTTATTCATAGACCTATTATTAATGTTATTTATTCATTTATCAACTACTATCATGGATTTGTTCATTTATTTATAGAGCTATTATTAATGTTATCTATTCATTTATCAACTACTATTATGGATTTGTTTATTTATTTATAGAGCTATTAGTATGGTTAGCTAGTCATTTATCCAATACTATTATGAATTTATTTATCTATTCATAGAGCTATTATTAATGTTATTTATTAATTTATCAACTACTATTATGGATTTGTTTATATCTCTATTCATTTAAACTACTGTGTGTTAAGGTGGCTGTTTGTTATTCGTCTGAACTTTGAGTAAATCTTGTCCACTTAGAACACCTTTAAGTGATTGAGTGTTACTTATTAGCACACCTGTTGCCGAGTTAACTATTGGTTATTAGGACACCTGTTACTGAGGTATGTGTTATTCATAAAGACACCTGTAATTCATTCATATAATGATTTTTTTTCTGTCGCGTCGGTATGTGAGGTCATATTACGTCTTTAAATTATTTATATACTGAAATTTTCTGTCGATATCTGAGGTTATTATTTACGTCTTCAAAATAAGGAAATAGGGCGAGGCTTAATCCTGCAATTCCGGTTGAGGAAAGCAATAGACGGAGATAAGGCGGCGTATTAATACATTGATCCCCCAGTAATGTACAAAGCCACGTTCCATGACGGCAAAGCCACTCAGAGAGGGGGAGAGAAGCGAGAAGCTAAATTGCTTCGGTGTGGATTCAATCCTTGCTGGCTTTCCTGTCGTCCTGTCGAGAATAGTTTCTGGATCTTCTCGCTACGTGGCGCTATGTGCTGGAACTATTTCCTAATTTGTTTTTGGTGGGAGATAATTTGGGGTATTTGTTTTCTTTTTTTCTGTGGCGGTTGTGTTGTGAAGCAGTGCGTAAACATCAGAAGCCAAGATAGTTTCTAGACTGGCGGTTGTGTTGTGATGTAGGGCGTAAAAATCAGAAACCAAGATAGTTTCTAAACTTTGCTGCTCTGAATTTAAAAATAATTGTATCTCTGAAATCTTACGTCTTAACACATACACGAGCGCGCGCGTGTACACACTATATAATGAGCCCTGCAAGAGTATGGTAGATGGTTTAAGGTAAACAAATAAGATGTTTTGACTCCTTTATTGAATAGTGCTTTTGGAGTGCGGCTCCTCCTCTGGACGAGGCGTTGCTCCTTGGGTCCCCGCAAGGAATCTGCCTCATCTCCTATACAGTGGTCTAAATATAGCTCTAAGTCACGTTGTTGGCATGTGACAACCGGTGACAAACAAGCAAGCGTTACGTCAATTCATAGCTCTTGCGGAAGAGGATAGACAGCACAACATTGGAATGTCTAGCGTAGATAGAAGTGAGACATAAGCAGATGAAGCAATGCTCAGGTGTATATACACATATATATGTATGTGTAAATATACATATGTGACAAAACATTCAAGATTATATATGCAGAATACGCACAAACAGGCACACCCACACATACACACACAAATATAGATGTGTGTGTTGTTGTTGTTGTTTATGTGTGTGTTTGAGTGTATACACATTTTGCCAAGTTATGATTCACTGAGTTTGAAAACAAATATCTAAAGATAACAAAATATACATAAACCCCTTAATAGAGAAAGAGATATAATAACAACAATAATAAAAGTAATAATAGTAATTCTAATAATGACAATAACAATATTGATTAAATAAGAACAATAAAAGTCTTTGTTATTTAAGATAATAGTAAATATAATGATAATTAAAAGATAATAAAGATAAAGCTGACTCAATTTGGAAATGGGATTCCGTCTCTCTCAGCGCCGCCGCTAGAGTTACTAACCTGTTAATTAATTGATAACAATAAACAAAACGTCAAGAGAGAGAGAGAGAGAGAGAGAGAGAGGAGAGAGAGAGAGAGAGAGAGAGAGAGAGAGAGAGAAGAGAGAGAGAGAGAGAGAGAGAGAGAGAGAGAGAGAGAGAGAGAGACAGACAGAAAACGACAGACAGACTCTCCCCTCTCTCACTCTCCCTCAGCACGACCGCCCTAAGGTAACCCCCCCCCCCCCGACAATCGCAACCTCTTCACCCCCCCTTCGTTTCCTCCCGATCCAGGTACGAGCCCCAGCTGGACGGCGGACTCCTCATCAGGGACTGCCAGCGCTCGGACTCCGGGAACTACACCTGCCACGCCAGCAACCGGCACGGCTCGGACCACGTCGTCTACCACGCTCATCGTCATGGGTAAGGCTTCGTGGGCTGAGATGGGGGGAGATTGGTTGGCTGCGTGGGCGGGGGCGTGGGGCTGGGGCGAGGCGGGGGTTAGGTGTGGATTTGTGAGGGCTTTTGTGGGATTGTGTGTGTGTGTGTGTGTGTGTGTGTGTGTGTGTGTGTGCGTGTGTCTGTGTGTGTTGTGTGTGTGTTGTTTTCATAAGGACCTGAATGAATGAATATGCACCCACCCAGAAATAGAGAACGAGAGAGAGAGAGAGAAAGAAAGAGATAGAGAATGAAATAATGAGAAAGAACAGAGATCGAACCAGATTTTACCCCAACCATCAAACGAAGAACATCAACCCGAACCACCAAGACGAACAGCGTCCCCCTTACTCCTCCTCCACCCCCCCCCCTTTCCTCCCCTCCTCTAACTCCCCTTCCCCCCCCGCAGTGCCTCCAGCCGCAGTCCTCCTCCACTCGATGGGCTCGACCTCGACCTCCGTCACTGTCTCTTGGCGCCACGTGGACGACGGCGGCGCCCCCGTCCGGAAGCTGACCTTGACCTGGCGTCCTGACCCCGGGGAGTGGCGGGAGGTCACCCTGGCGCGTCACCTGACCCAGTACACCTTAGGGGAACTCACCTGCGGGACTGAGTATCACCTTTATCTCACTTCGCATAACAAAATAGGTGAGTGGGAAATGGGAAGATGAGGGAAATGGGAAAATGAGGGAAATTGAAAAATGGGAATAGGAAAAATGAGGGAAATGGAAACACTGGGGAAATGGGAAAAGGAGGGAATTCATCATGAGAGGATGGGTGGTAGACACAGAGAACGGTGGTAGATGGGGGTTGGAGGGAGAGCATATGATGATAGAAATGGCTATAATGTTTATTTCATTTTGTTTCATGATGGGAACGTTGATGTGTCTGTAAATTTTTGGACAATATATTTGTTTCGGATATATGTGTTTGATATATAGACAGATAGATTGGTAATTAAATAAAATAAATTGGTAAATAAATATGCAAATACATAAATCAGTATATAAACAAATCGATAGATACATAAATAAATAGATAAATAGATAAATAGATGGAGAGATATAAATGTAGATGTATAGATAGATTGATATATATATACCTGTAGACATACAGGTGTGTGTGTATATATATATATATATATATATATATATATATAATATATATATATATATATATATATATATATATATATATATATATATATATATATATATTTATGTGCGTGTGTGTGTGTTAAATAGGTAGATAGGCAGGCATAGATTAATAGAAAGACAGACATGTACAGCCATACAGATGAATAGATAGAATTATATAATTCTTGTTTTCATTTCCATATATATAAGAAATACTCACGCATCCCTGACCTTATAACCCTTTCCCCAGGCCCCGGCGCAGCCAGCGAGGTCATCACGGTGCGGACGAAGGGGTCACGCCCCTCGCCTCCGCCCCAGCACCGCCTCATCTCGGTCAACACGACAGCCGTGACC